TCGCGGGACACTTGACAGCTCTGAAAGACCTGCCGGCACATTTTTGGGCTGGTAATGGAATATTACAAGGGCAATACGAGAAGAATTCAATTTTTCAGAATTTCATAATAATTACAGGAGATCTTACGGTAGTTTGAACAAGAATACTGTTATTTCCAGCAGAAATAATATGGTAGATTTTCCGTATTTACGGTATATTTTACGGCCGTTCTTATAGAAAAAATCGAATTATAATAAAATATTTTACGGTAGATTTTGGTAAAGTTACAGTAGATTTGTACGGTCGTTTTTACAGGAAAAAACGGTAATATTTTTATGGTATTTAGATTTTTTACGGAAAAACGAATATTTTTTGGTTGATTCCCGTAAAAATACGGTAGGTTGGCTGGTATGAGTTACCATGGCAACCTTGGAAATGGGTAAAAAATGAAAGCAAAAAACACCCAGACCCGCCATAATGGCACTAATTTTCAAAATATTTCGAGACATACACATTTTTTCAACTTTGATATCATCTAGAACACTTCGAGACAACAAAAATATCAAAAGAAAATTGTTGGAAGGTTTATCACTTAAATTTTTTGCAAGGCTTGGTCAAAGTAAAACTACTAAAAAAGCACTCATTTTCACTTTAGAATCACCTATTATCGCCCAAATGGCTATATGTTGTCAAGGTCGCCATGTTAAAAGTAAAATTATGGAGCTAGATCTGCTCTTCAGAAAATGTTTGATAGCTTTCCTTGTCCATGGAACAAAGATCTTTGCACTGGCAACACTGGTATGCCCATTTCCATGAGATAATGCACGTGAAAGAGGAACAGTGTCTTTAAATGTCATCAAAACTTTTTCGCCCTACTTTTGGTGTAATAATACCATCTGATTGATTGTTGGTGTTAACAGTGAGTCGGGATTCCCGGGATTTGGGCTTTAGGATACGATTTTACTGGACACTTTCTGGGTAGTTGGACTTCATGTAGGGGTGGCAGACGGCCCTCGGGCCAATTTATACCCCTACCCCAACAAAACCTTCGGGGTACTTTAATACCACCCAATAAAAATAATACTAATGCCAGGCCTGTCAACTTGGGAACACCTAACATGAGTGACTTAGGTAGGTACGAAAAATTTCGAACGGAATGCGTGACATATCCGTATTTCGCGTGAAAAGTCCGAACGAAATGCGTACGTTTTTTTCCCGTCGTTCGTATTTTTACTGTGTAGACGATCTTTTTTAGAAAATTTTCTACAGAAACATTTTTGCTTGACAATTACCAGGTAAAATGCGTATTTGCGTGACATTTTCTGTCACGCAAAAATAACTGGCGTGACTTCAAATTCTTCAGCAAATGCGTGACAAATACGCAAATTGCGGGACAGTTGACAGGCCTGTAATGCATATCAGATGTTCATTGTTTTATAGTGGGTAGGGCATGCCATGGTTAGTCAGTGCCAGAAATTTCGAATCTCTGACTTCATGGTTACCATGGAAACAGTATTTATATCTCATAATCTTCTCAATTTGAGCCCATCTTAAATGTGTCCTTTAGTTCTCAAAGTGAAATATTTGCAAATCTGTTTGGATTTTGTGGCTGCTACTTTGTTAAAAGTTGAATTAATATGTATGAATTCACACCAAAGCACTAAAAACTTGATATAACGATCCAATAAATTAATAATATTTATCACATGTAGTCACACACAACTGCTTTAAGGGAAAAGTGGGCGTGGCACTTTTTGGTACTTGTGTAATTGTTGCAGCATTAAATGAAAAATACATATTACACTAACAACAATTGACATTTAATTAGCATCTACTAACATTGTGTAACATTGTAATATGTTCATTATGATTACGTATTTAGACGAAACTAAAAATGAACTACCATCGACATCCACACCCCAAAAGCCAACTTATTCTCATGAATTATCCAGTCGTCCAAACAGACCAGTTCATGTTGAAACGGATGGCATATACAAAAATAAATTATATGATACAATGATCGTATATATGCATGCCAATTTGAATATATTTTTAGTATACGTAAAACACGAATTGGTCGATTTTTTTCACACGAAAGATTTTTTCAGTTCATTATACATTTATTTCAAATTATATTGCAGTAAAAAATTTACACAGGTCGCTGCCTAGCGCAATGTGCATTACAGGCTAGCGTTTTGGAATGAACATAAATCAAATTAATTGAGTGAGTTATACATACAATTGTGCTAACTTAATGGTGAAAAGTATGTCAGAATAAAATGGGTTAGGCCAAGCTAAGAATCAACGAGCCTACCTTTTAATCGAGAATCCTGTTCAATTGAAAATGAGTTTTTGAAAATTAAAAATTCAGTTTTGTCTTGTTCAATTAGATTGGTCTCAAGCTTTTGCTGCTCAGGGGTTTCTTAAAGGTTTTTTCTTTGGGTTGAATGGCGCTTACATTGCAGAATCGAGTGTTTAGGAGTTGTACTCTTACCACAGACAATATAAGATTAGCTGTGTTAGGGAAATCATGAGCAATCGTTTGTGATTCAAATTAGAGTCCGCATCTAATTCTGTTCAAGGTAATTTCTTGTTTTCGAGAAAGATTGAGTTTAGAAGTTGTATTGAAGTCATTAAACTTTCAAGATTTGTTTTTGATTTTACTTTTGAACAAAGAGATGGTGGGAATAGACTGGAGATAACCTATTCCATTCAGAGATCAATCTTAGCACTGGGGCATTAATTAGTCGTACAAAGAACACGAAAAGATGGAACTATTAACAGGACATGGTCGACTCGGAGTCCCCTAATTATCCTCACACGACTTGGTCGAATCCTGGCTGTGTAAGGGTCGGATCCTTCTATTCGAGTTTTAAACCACATTTTCATGTACTTTTGTGACGTATTACGCCATGTTTGTTTATCAGTCGCACGCATTAATCCATGTACTTTATAAATTGCACGAAATTAGATATGTATACGGTAATATAAAAGAATTATTGCAATTGAAGTGTATTCTGTCGTGAAAAGTCTATGTTCGACCTATTTTCACCTATGAAGCCTTGATATTTTTTTCTTGCTTTCTTCATGAATTCATAGGTAATTATGTTGCCTATAGTTAACCATTCACAAAATATCAAAATTCGCTCTGTTTCCTACTTTTCCTGACATTTTGTCAATTTTGGCCTCTTTGTCTCACGAAGGGATCGTATTCTAACACACGAACGGACCATATCATACGGAGCGGGATGTGGACCGTGATCTAGCCTGTAAAAAATGAAAAATCGCTACATAGGAATAATTTCAGTGAGATGTGGGCCCTCAAAATCATGTAATTTTAGCAAAATGAAGAAATAACCTGCAATTGCACTGTTGCAGGCCTGTGCTCCTCGATATTTTTTCACACAATCGTGAGCAAAACTGCAAATATATTTTACAAAAATAGTTCTCTAGGTATTTTGCATTAATGTCAACAAGCATGAATTGTATTTACACCGATTGAAGTCCAACATATCTGCAAAATTGCCTGTAAATTACGATATTAATATTATTTTTAGTTCTGTTCCCGGTCTTTTCGGTTGAAGAGCTTCATGCACTAAAATTACGAACGTTATAGGATAACTCTGGAATAAAGGCGTTCGCGTTTATATCGGTCATGGGGCCCCAGTTCGGTTATCGGCCTCAATTACAGTTTCTCTTCTTGTAGTACCTACAAATAGTTCTAAAAAAGCAAACAAAATGTCCTGTTAAAGAACCCCATCGTTTTAAGTTTGTTTGTTTCAAGTTAGGCCTATTTCAAATTTACAAACCCATCTTTCATAGTGAGTTGGGCAAAAATAGCAGCGACTATACATAAAAGTGTTTCTAAATTCATTTGCAATTTAAGTTTCAACTTCTTCACTACCTGTTATTGCCTGCCAACTCCTTAAAATCCCTAATTATTGGATATTGTAAATTCTGCTGACCTTGCAATAATGCTCAAGTTCATGTGGCTGCATATTCAATTCTTCGTCAGAACACATCAGACAAACAAATTATGCAATAAAACATTGTATATACTCCAAAACAAAACCCACTTGACTTACTTCCCCAATAATACTGTAATAGTACAGTTAGATATATTTCTTAAGTTCTTTATCTTGGAATAATGAACTTTTGGTCGTGGAATTAATCGTGAGTGCAACAGTTATATATTGGCACTTGACTCCATTAATTTTCCAAAAGAGGCTTTTCCATATAGCTTTGAAATCTCGTTAAAGTCTCATTTTTAATGAGATTTTAGGAGATCTGCATTTTACCCACTAAAGACTTATTTAAGATGAAGTACCATGAAACGCGTTTCATTTTCAAGAGGGATAGCCATGCATGCATCTTTGCTAGTTCTAAACCCTACATTTGATGATTGTTTTCATTCTTCCTTTCAACGGAAAACTTATCGAGAACGAACACTTTGCAAAACGGCATTAATGTATTTCATAGGCTAAACGATTTTCAATTGTATTCCAAAGGCTTGTAAATTGTTTTCTGATTATTCACCATACACAAAGAGGATTGCTTTAGAATTACACGTAACTTCACCTAAATATCACTGCCACCAGATGATCATTTTATTGACAATTGACCACAGTCGACTCAGCTATCAAGGATTATAAAATGAAAGAAATGGGAGCATTTATCAGTTGAAACAAACAAATAGAAATCTGTTAATGTCTATTGTTTGCTTGCCGCTACGAACTGTATCTTATAATGGTGCAAGGTGCGCACTTTATCAACTTTTAGTTTTCACTAACAGGGACTGTATCAAAGTTAAAGAATTCAATCCATAAAAGTGCGGGTGTATACAAGTTTTCATTCGAATTCGAATCTGTATCTACAAATATAGATGTTATCGTGAATATTTTGCAATCAAATTTGATAGATAGTATTACTTTTTTCCAAAACAAAACGATGCTTTTTAAAAACAGATCGGATGGTGAAAACATTAATTCATTGCTTTTGACGCTTTCCCCAAGTCCTCTTCGACGATAAGTCGATCCTATTATATTAATGAAAGTAAAACCAGGGGGAGTGTGTACGGATAAATACAAAATAACAAATTAGTTTGAAACAAAAAATAGAGCTTAATTACAAGTAAAATGTAATAAAACTAATTAATTAGTGATTTGAAGCACGTGGTGGATTTATCTCAACGGAATGCTTCTTATGATAGCTTGATATAATGAAGTAAAAGAAGGATAGCTGTTTTATAACAATTTGTAAAACAAACAAACAGACTACTTATTTTATATATTGAATCACTGCATATTTGTTGCAACGATGCAAGACGGAGCCAACATGAGCGAGGTGAATTTAGAAAACAAACCGGAGGTTGAAATTAAGACACCTAGTGCGGCTAGTCCATCTCCCAATGGTAAGTTCACTGAGAATTATACCATTTAGCCTGTATTGCTTAAATCATTATATAATGTCGTACCAAAAAAGAAAAAATGAAAACTTTTATTCATTGCACACTTGCAAACACACGTTCATCATTTGTGCTCAGATGTGAATTTAATGCGCAATGTCCAAAGATTCTAGGATAATGACGTTTATTACCATTGCACCTTGCGAATGAAGTGCCGCCTCATGAAAATGTGATCTCATTGGCAATATAGCATAAGGGCAGAAGTAGAATTGGTGAGGGGCAACACTGGCGGGCAATACGCGTCATATGCTGCTCTATCATCATACTCATGAAAATGTCATACCGTGGGATACCTTGGAAATCCAAGATGATGCTATCTGCTTATAGTCGTAGCACATGTACTTAGTTGTGTAATGCTGTATTTTTCAAGCACGAAATCAATGGTAAGCGAATACATGTCGCTTCAATAGTTTGTCGGTCTTTGAAAACAAGCTCGAAATTGTACTTTAATAATCACAAAACTGACACGGTATTATTTTAGATGTGGCAGGCGGGACAGAACCAGCACCAAAACAAGAATTATGGTTCAAGATGCGCGGGAAAGTACAGGCAGGGGTTCGGGCGGCTAGATCGGTAGTTCCCGTCGGTGCAGGAACCGAACTAAAGGAACTTTTCCTAATAGCATGGCCAGTTGTAAGTATAATATCCCAATAACACGTATAAAAATTGATTTTGTGTCGTTATTCTTTCCCTGGGGTTCACTTTTCAAAAAAGGTATATAGTTAAGGAATAAATAATGATAGGCCATTCAATATGGTGAAATTCAGCACGAGTTGGACAGAATGTTGTACAAAGCACGAACCGAAGGTGAGTGCATTTGTACTAACATTCTGTCCAACGAGTGCTGAATTTCACCATATTGAATGGCCTATCATTATTTATTCCGATTCAAACATAAAAATTAGTAAAAGCCGTGTCTGTGGAACGGGCTTGAAGGAAGAATAAGCCTACGCATGCTGTCAAGATTCTGAAGTCGGCCGGAAAAAATTTAGAATTTGTTTGGGCTGTTCTATTTTACTCCCCGTTTTAGATTTTATACGGTGTATGCAAACATGTTACAGTAGTAATTTAAATAGTTACAGTAGTTACGGAGGGAGTAAAAAAGAACAGCTATCCCCGGACAGAGCCCCAGATGTGCAGCTGAGATGTGACGTCACTCAAAACAATGCAAATTGCAGATTGAATAGAGCATGGTCGTGCATCTATGGAGAATTAGAGAACGTTCTATATTGGCTATGCTGCATTCTGATTGGTTGAGAAATTCGAATAGAGCACGGTCATGTTTGAATATGGTATATAGTATACACAACAGCCAAAAACCACCAAGAATTACCCTCCCCCTTGCTACTGATCACAGATAGCACATATTGGATAGCTCACAATAGAGCACGTACGACAATCACAATGGTACCAGTTTCGTATCGTGTGTAACTGGTATAGCAACGATCTCAGAGAAAGTTATTGTGTCTTAATATATTATGTATGTATTTGGCGGAGAAATCTACAAATCTATCAGTATAACCCAATCGAAAAGAAAAATATTTGGGTGCAAGGCTATTGTTACAATTCAACACATGTATAAATTCTATCTGATTGAATACTGAATACTCAACAATATTAACTAGAAACTATCTGACTCAATACTCAACACCATTAACTAGAAAACGGCAACTCCACGGAGTAGCAAATTCCAAAGAACACTATATAAATAATTAAATCTTTACAGTCACAATGTAATATTTACCATCTACCCTCTCTTCCCTTCAATAAATATTTGAGATCATTGTAGTATCATGTTACCATACTTTCAAGACATCTCTAAGTAATGGAGAATTCCTGCTCTAGGCAGCCATTTTAAATTTTCAGAGGCACAAATCAGAAAGACAATGCCATAATTGTGATCTACTCTACAATTCTTTCAATTTGAGTATAATATAGCCATACTTTTAAGAGATCAGAAAATAATTGCGAAATCCAATTAGGCGGCCATTTGGAATTTTTCGAGGCCCGAATTAGAAAAACGATACAATATTTGCTATCTACTCTGAATTGCCTTTTCTGTTAACTAATATTCGAGTTATCTACAGACAAACGGACGGACTGACTGGCATACGGGCGGAGGGCTTCACTATATCCCTACTGAACTTCGTTCGTCGGAATAATTAGTGCTTGTCCTTTGGTATGGTTGTATCGGGACCAGTTGTCCTTTGAGGCGAGGACAAGCCACTCAAGATTATCAAGTTATCTATTATCATTACTAAAACATGTTTACAATTAAATCTTTATTATAGTTGTTTTGGGATTCTTGTTTGTACTCTTGTATAGCGTGACACACAACTTTGGGATAACTAATATCGACACTGTTAAAACGGTGGAACAATTGTTATTACTTTTTATCAGAAACGAGGGGGAACTAATCACTGATCGTTAACAATTAAAACATATGTATATTCTCTAATTCAGATCCTCAGTCAGCTACTAACATACACAGTTATTTTGACGAGTCTTATATTTGCTGGGAGAGTGCTCGGAAAAGAACCTCTGGATGGAGTTTCAATGGCATCAACGGTTTGTTTATCAGATTTTGAGATATCCATATTTAAATGTTATTTTTGTAGCACTGTAACGGATGCGTAATACATCTTAGTATTTTCACGTCATGCTCAAGTGTCGTATTGATAAAATACAGTTTTCATGTTGTGATCGTTTCTAACTGCAAAATTAAGACATGTTCCATTTAGACATTACTAGTCTTGCTTAAAAGACCCTGTACCCCCCCCCCCCTTTATCCTTCTCTCTATTGCCAGGTAGGTAAAGAGAGTGAAGTTGACGGGGGGGGGGGGTGGATACAGTCTTTAAGCAAGACTAGACATTACCAGAATTTTTTATCTGTCTGTTTCACGAGGAATAAAGTACGTTCAACTTGATAAACTAACACCTTTGTTTTTTCAGTTTATCAATCTTACTGGTGTTACGGTTGGGTTTGGCTTAAGCTTTGGCCTCGACACGTTGTTATCTCAGGTTAGGCACATTCTATTTACATATGCATTATGCATTATGTATTTATTTATGTACAAATGTAGAATCGGATAGAAACAGTATAGTAGTAGTAGTGACAAAATTCAAAACAATTTATCTGACAGAAGCACATTGTAGCCCCGTTAAGGAGGTGCCATGGCACCACCCCCCATTTCGAACTACATACTTTTTTGAAAGGATTCCCGACTGGGCTGACAAAATGCAAACCAACTTTTTCGAATAACTAGCCTTTGTTTATGGCGCAGGACTCAAGAATCCCAGAGCCCTCCCATTGAGCCATTAAGAGCTACTGTACATATCATGCATTAGTAAAGGTCTCCCGAACAATCCTAATTGTGCTTTTTGTTGCTTTCTAGACATATGGCAGCGCCAACAAAAAGCGAGTTGGCGTTATTATCCAGAGAGGGACGATTATCATCATGCTGTTCTGCTTCCCTTGTTGGGCCCTTTACTGTAACACTGAGTCAATCATGAAGGTTGTCGGCCTTGATACCGAAGTGGCTGAGTATGCTGCCAAATATTGTCTCTGGTTCATTCCCGGATTACCAGTAAGTATATGTATGGTGCCTGTACGTGTATGAAAGAAAGCATACGATTGATGTTGATTTACCTCGATCGTAATGTTCAGATGAAATAATCCTGAAACTACCGTAACATCTTCCTACATCGTCTCAGCCTAGACACGGAGCGTTTTTAGTGATTATAATGCACTCTAGCACTCTGATTTTTCCATTTGTGTAATCGACTGCATACCATTACAAATCTAGCTAGTCCTCGATTTGAAATGCCTTCTGAAAATAATAACAGAACAAATATTCAGAATGCGTATTTTATTGTGAACTTTCAGGGGATGATCTTACTTCAGATAATCAACAAATACCTCCAGAATCAGAACCTTGTGATGCCTCCACTGTGGATAGGGTTAGCCATGAATGTGGTGAACATAGTCCTACATTGTATATTTATCCTAGGCATAAAAATGAGCGTTGAGTAAGTACTCAAGAATACCTCCCAATATCTCCAAAAATGATATATATACAGGGTGGGCCAAAAAAACAATACCCAACTTTAAATCAGAATGAAAATAGCTATGTTCAATATGATACATTGATTTATATATCATTTTAAAGGTAATCCATTTTCAAACAATTTGGTATATAACACTATGTCATGAAATCAATATTTAAGTTTTATTATGCTTATTTGGGAGGCCGGATCGGTATTTAAGGTATCCAGATTTTAGGGAGAAAATAGTAAATCTGCGGAATAATGTTAATTTTTTATTTATAGAATATCATTTTGTTAGGTGAGTACATGCTTGTATATTTGCATATTGTGTGACTAAACTTATTGTTTATGAATTTTAGTGTTGTTATTATCAATAAGTACTCAAAGACATTAAATGTATTTGTGACGAGGATTTTATTTTCCAACAAGACATTGCCTTGTACCATAGATCAAAGGAGAGATTGGCATTTCTTTGCAAACAAGGTGTCAATTTGATGGATCTTGATGCTTGGCCACCCAACAGTCCTGATGCTAATGTGTTTGATTATCATACATGGCGCCATCTTGAGGAAATGGTACAATCAAAAGCATCCAATAAATCCATCCATTGATGAGCTGAAACAGAATCCTAAAGTGCTGAAATCAGAAATCTCTCAATAAGGCTATTGATAGATTGCGCTACCACTTGAAGCTTATTGTTGATGCAGAGGGGAGGGGGTGGAGGTATATTGAGCAATTGTTAAAATTTTTTAAATAAATTAAGTGTAAAATGATAGTAAACAACACTGAAATTCATAAACAATAAATTTAGTCACACAATGATGCAAATATCAATATCCAAGCATGTATTCAACCAACAAAAGAATGATATTCTATAAATAAAAAATTAACATAATTCCGCAGATTTACTATTTTCTCCCTTACATCTGGAAACCTGGAATAGCGACCCGGCCTCCCAAATAAGTATAAAAAAAACTTTACTATTGATTTCATGACATAGTTTTATATACCAAATTGTTTGAAATTGTATAACCTTTAAAATGATATGTAAGTCAATGTACCATATTGAATGTAACTATTTTTATCCTGATTTGAAGTTGGGTATTGTTTTTTTTGGCCCACCCTGTATATAAATAACGCATTGTATAATTTTAAAAGGATTAAAGGTCAAAATCCCATGATTATTAATACAGCGCACGGAAACAATCAACTCATGTTATATTTTACATAGGTTCTGGGCCAATATAAAGATGGCATCAACAACAGAATCCAGTGTTATCTTTTTCTCCGAGAATATTTATAAATAAGCACAGATCGATTGCCATGCCATCTTTATTTAAAAATTATTTCTATCGACCTTAGCCAATGGTATTTTATTTACTAATCAGAATTTAATTAATTCTAATATAAGCTCGCTGCTGTCGATTTATTATCTTGAATATTTTTTGTTGACATGAGGTTCATATATTTTATAGTGGAGCAGCTATTTCTATAGGCTTGTCATTCTGGATAGCATGCTTAATGACTGTGGGCTACATCAAGTTCTATAAACTCCATGAAGAAACATGGGGAGGTAAGGTTTCTAGCAAGGATGGTTGATATTGCCTATCATTTACATCGATTGTTCTATAAAATTGAAGTAAAAAGTAAGGCGCTTTGGGAGCTTATACATATCGATAGGGGAACGCAATTTTGCTACATGGTATTAAGGAGGTTACTCAATATCAATAATGTTCACTCATACTCAAAAATGTTTTATTGAATATGACATGTTTTGCAAGATTGTCTGCTAGGATTTTGTCAATAAATTGTCTAATAGCAAAAGATATGTTTACATAATCAAGGAACATTCATCATATCACTAAAATATTTCATAACATATTCAGAATAATTTAGTCATATGTTATTTACTTAGTTTCATGGCGTCAATGTTTTAAATGTTAATGTATTTGACAGGTTGGTCGGTAGAATGTCTCCAAGAATGGGGAGTGTTTTTCTACCTCGCACTTCCCGGTCTTGCAATGATGGGAATTGAGTTCTGGAACTACGAACTTGGGACATTTCTATCGGGTAATATGCGCTTTATATGTTTACTTTTAACACACATCAATGATTTCTCATATTTATAGTTTTATTCTTGACTAGAGTCTGCATTGAGATTTTAGTATTTGTATTGAAAGCAATTATATTGTATTTCAGGTATTCTGCCAGATGGAAAGGACGAACTTGCCGCCTCATTCATTGTGAGTACCCTTATCATATGTAGTACACATTCAAGCCAGTCGTATCTATATACTTCCTACATGACGTTCAGATTTATAAGATTCCCTTTTAATCTTATATTAATCCTGCATCTTGTAATCCAAATTAAAATATAATACATATTGTCGATCTAACAATGAGTATACATGACATTGTGTATCTTACTAACTCTCATTCAAGTTGAACATTTTCTTTCTAGTTCAATTGTGGTGATCTCGAGTGGCATCCTAGTTCAACGTGTCTCCTACTCGTGCGTCCATTAGAATAGAAATATTATGTGTTTATGATAAATATAATTGATTAATTGATTATCGTACTTATTCTTTGAAAAACAATTTTTTACCGTAATGATTATGCAGCCTCATTTAAAATCGATGCAAACATTTATTTTGTAGACCCCTATAGGACTTGCAGTTGCCGCTAGTATCAGAGTGGGCCAGGCTTTGGGGGCTGGCGAGCACCGAGCAGCATCAGTAACGACGCGTGTCTCCCTATTCTTAGGACGTAAGTTTATACAATGTCAACAGCCATTCGTTACCACCATGCATGGTCACTATGTTTTTAACTAAAATCCTCAAAAAGGCGATTTTGATATTCATGTAGAGAACTTTTTTGAAACAATTGGAATAACAGTATGTAAAATACAAACATTCAATTTTCCAGAATATTGAACTTGGTGTTCGACATTTGTATCAAAATTAATAATTATTCTAAAAGTTGATTGTATTAATTAAACATTGCATTATAAATTGTTATTGTGGAATGTGTCTCATAGGCCCACGTAAGACTGGCTATTTCAAACAGGTGACACATGAATAAATAAATGAATAAATAAATAAATGCATATTTTTAATATATTTTGTTTTATTTCAGTTTGTATCGTTCTATTAATTGGTATATTGTACAGTACCCTGCGATATGTCATACCAGGAGCCTTTACTCCAGTAGCGTAAGTTTCATATAAATATAATTAGTGGGCCCTGTTTTGATGCATTTTTCTATCAACCGTACAAAATGATTTCCTAACTAAAACTATATAATCAAGCCGAGATAAATCAGTTAAAGGTTTTTTGAGCAGTACCAAAATATGGAATTGAGATAAAATAAGCCGAATGGAAATCAAAGGCATTTGACTTCAGACTTGACATTAGCAGTTTTGAGGAACTCTTAAATTATGGAAATTAAGATAGAAAAAGATTTTTTTATGTCATGGCAATTGCAGGATAAATTGTTATAATGTCATTTTACAATCTGTATCAATTTCTCCCCTCAGCATGTAAATCTTTTGAAATTAGAGCATTTGTATCTTTACTTTCCGGACACCCTGTATAATAGTAAATCCTGGGCAAGGTATTATGTACATTTTTGCTTTTAGGAAGATTCGAGATCGTGCTGCTCAAATTATTCTCCAGCTAGCGTTGTCGCAATGCTTTGACGGCATGCAGGTACGTTAGAAGTTTTTCCCTTGACATGTTGCCCATCCGTATTTTCTTTGTGTATCCCTTTATTGCTCTTCCTAGTCTTAATTGTTCATGAATAGTGGGTATACTTCAATTATTGATCGAGGAAGAAGGCACATTTTGTATTACTATATTTAGTATTACTCAGTTCAATCGTCTTACCGTCTATCACATCTCATATCCGTTTGTTTCGTTGCTACGTTTACCAATCTTATAGTCTATAATGTTCAATGGTATTTCAGCAAGTATGTGGAGGCATTCTCAGAGGGTGCGGCCGACAGACACTGGGCGCATGCGTCAACTTTATAGGGTTCTATATCATTGGAATGCCAGTTGGACTTCCTCTTATGTTCAAAACAAAGCTTGGAATCGCGGGTAAGTAAGAACAATTATTTACTAATAATGAAGGGCGCTCCGCAATATAGAAGAAGCTTTGAAATCTCGTGAAGTCTCGTTTTAATGAGATCACCGTAAGGAGAGATAGTCTAATCTAGCCGAATAGGGTAGTATTAGGGTGATATTATTTTCGATTATTTTTATTATTTGCCAGAATTTTTATATGATTTGAAAGTTGCAAACGATATTAAGAAAATTTAACCACCAAGAAGAAAAATATATTTAATAGTTGAGTAAATGAATGATTGTGATATTTTGAATACGATTCACATATAGGGAATTTTAATAATATAAACGGTGTACCCAGTTAAGAAAATGTTTAACCATTATCACCTCTTCCAGGTCATTGGTGGGGAAATGTTCTGGCTTCCGCATTCCAAGCAATAGTGTTCAACATTGTCATTTACAAAACTGATTGGAAAAAGTTTTCGGATTCGGCACAAGTTAGAGCTGGTGTGAAGTTTGATGAAAAGAAAGTGAGACCAGATGACGAAGGTGAAGCAACAGAAGAGAAGAAAGAAGAGCCGGTTAAAGGTATAATCATGAGCGAATAGAGAGATTTCGCTCATACGTGATAGCACATCTTATGTTTACGCGTTGCTGACGTTTCACAAAAATATGTGTTGATATGTTCCATAAAATGTGTATTTCATCGATCAATTCGAATGTTCTTTTCACCAAAAAAAGTTTTCTACTAATTCTAACAGGATAGCAATATGAATCTGAGCCAAATATCTCCATGATTCTCATCCAAACTATGAGATAAGTATTCACTCACTTATAAATAGCGTTTTAAACTATTGCTTTGCAACACAACTCTTTATTTCTAGATGACAAGTTGAACGAAAAGGGCATGGTGGCAAACGGTATATCAGGAAAGATAGAAGACGATGGTACGTACTTCGCTATGGAGCTTGAGGAAGAGAAACCCAGCCTAATCACTCTTGATACTCTTTCCACCAAGCAATTAATTCTTTATCGTGGAGGGGCTGTTGCAGCCGCTTTCCTCATTCTCATCATCGGAATCATATTGTCCGTCACTATCAAGGTCCAAGGTCGACCCCCTGCCTGCCAACAGGACGACTTGTCATGTAATGGCTGTACACTTACATCCGAAAGTGTTAAGTGTATGGAGTGTAACCTATTGGCAGATGTTGATGTCGACTCTGGGTATTATTACGCCGGTCACCAATTTGCAAAGTATTACTCAAAGTGGCACTCTTTGGACGACAACCATATTAATTACCATGACAACGGATTACAAGGAGAGAGTTATGATTGGCTACCGGATTTACCTGATTTTTCATGCGGGAATTGCGTCAAGCAAACGGTTGCGACAACATCCGGTCAAAACCGGAAGTCAAGTTTAACATTAGACTGTGGAACATGCGCAACTGTTAGAAATGGAATGGGAAACGCATGTAATGTAACATTGAAAAGTGAAAGCTGCAGAGCTAGCAAAATACTAAACGGAGTCTGTGGTGGATTCTCATTTTTGATTTGAAGCGTGTAATAGTTTGATAAATAAAGATCCAAATTGGTCACCGGGATTTGATAAAGGGCATAACACAATTTGGATGTTTGATATATCATGTTGCAATGGGGCAGCAAAGTGCAATTTCGAGGTCCATTCATTCAATATACAGTGTGTCCCATAAAAAACGCAACAAACAAAAACATTGTAAAATCACAAAACCATTGATGATAACATCAATTTGATTTAGTTTACCAGGAAGCCACATGTCTCCTCTTTCCAATGGTATGTCAGTTATTCATATAAAACCATGGACCACTGAATAATCATTCCTTTTGCACAACGTGCCGAAATCTGCTCTGGGCCAAGTTTTAGACATTGCAACAAAGAGTCACCAATGAGGTTGCTGCCCTCCGCCAGAACCCCAGATGATTCAAAGAGGTGTGCGACATGGACACAAAAGCCAGTCTCAGTGTTAAATAGTGGTCATGTGAAAGGGCATGGAATGTAATCTTTCATAAGTAATCTTTCATAAGATGACAGACAACGACTGTCTATGCCACTTTTTTCCACATGTCTTGCATTTTGTTACCTGAACCAACAAGAATACTGATAAATACTTAAAGTTAAATTTTCTTTTCATTTTTTCTTACTAAATCTAAATCAGAAACTTGTGTTATGTAAATCTTGTGACCAAAATATTATCCCCAGTACCAATAACATAATGATTTACCTGATTGCACAATTAAGGATCAGTTGATTGATATTTCATTACTTGGCACAAAGGCCTTTTCACCCATGTACGAAAAAAACAATGATTTTTCAGTGGTCCATGATCAGATATGAACAAATAACATACCATTGTAAAGGGGAGACACGTGGCTTCATGATAAACTAAATGAAATTGATGTAATCATCACTGGTTTTGTGATTTTACAATGTTTTTGTTTGTTGCGTTTTTTATGGGACACACTGTATTGCATAATCAATGGATTTTATTTCTATTTTCTTGAAACTAAAATGAATACTCAATTTATATTTTCCTACGGTGGTTTTGCATATGTGTAGTAGGTAAATGTTTTTTCTAACAATGGATGAATTAGAGTTACGACAATATGAATTCGAACGACTTAATTTAAGATGCATAAGTACATAGTCGATTGTCGATATCATTTAAATAAATCATTCTATTGTATAACAACTAATCGAAATTGTTATCAGTTGATTCCATGCTTATAGCCTTGCCTAAGTCGGTGTCTTTTTATTCCCTTTTTACCAAAGATATAAAATACTGACTCAAGGCTACATGCAATCTGTACACATTAAAGTAATCATTAGGTGATTACTTTAGAGGAAAAGTGTACAGGATACATCATTTTCTTTTTACACCATGTATACTTTTTGGATAAGTTATTTTCAATTATTTAAACTTTATGTGGTTGATCGAGATATCATGTGATATTTACTTCGTCAATATACAGTATAGTATATACAATTCAACCAATTTCTTGTATGTCTTCTATTGACTGACTCATAGGTTTTAGGATGATAGAAAAAATTATTCTCTCAGTGCTCCATTGGAGTAGATGTAACCGTTACTTGTCCTTTGCTTTTCTCCGTGTACTCATTTATGTTTAATGCGCTGACTAGAATTTGTTGCCATCTCTATGAAATATTTATTTTTTCTGTTTCTGTCTATTAACATATTTTGTAAACTCGCAAAATATTTGGTGACGGCACAAAAAAAGTCACCTCCGATGGTCACATTTGACTGTCTCAAAAGTGTTACATTTGATGCAACAATCACATGCTCAAGATGAGGAGTGCAATATGCAAATATTAACAGTACCTGTATAACATACAGTCCTCTAAAGGTTATAGCTCCCCTAAACTCCCCTATTTGATAACATGTTAAAACCTGCATGTTTTAAGTCATTAAAGTAAACCAACATAAAAGGAAAAAACATAATAGATTTATCCCGTATCCAATCGGAAGTCGGTATGGACAGTTTTTAAAGAGGGGGGTATACTTGAAGTTTTAAAATGTCCTAATACCGTGATAGCACATTAATCTCTACCCCCGCCTGACTGGAATCAGATCTCTTACAGAATAAGCCTAAGAATGCAGTCCTGTATTCTTTGTACACGATACCATAAATTATGGAGCTGATCACAAGAGAGCTAAATGCAATCGTGAACACAATCAATAACGATAATTGGTTCGAGGTAACATTGAGATACGATAGTAAAAGAACAATGTGTACCGGTGTCCATGATATCGTGTAGTACACAACCATGAAAGAAATGATCAGCGTTGTTTTTGTTTTTTGTTTCGTCATTGATGCTACTTCCACACTATCCTTGCGTCCAGTGGCTTTTAGAATGGAAGTCATCTTTTCAATATGGACTCGAGCTACCAATAGTAGCCGAACATTCATTCCTGTTATCAGCGCAAGTGCTAACAGTCCGACACACGTCATAAAAACGGCATATATTACAGGGGAGACTTCTCCTAAGTTGCAGCTCATAAGATGGCTCGAGCCTGCCGATCCTCTTGATTCAATTATCGAAAGTTTGATGACGGGATACGCTCCAAAAATCACACAAATTATAACAGATGTAAGAATGACGACTGCAAACATTTTTTTGGTGACCCACTTTCGATAAAAGAATGGGTGGATAACGGCCGTGTAACGCTCTAACGTCATCATAAGGATACAATTCACGTGGAAATAAGCAAAGATCAGTAATGTTGAATGGGCTAGAAGACAACCACTCGAGGTTTGGGGTCGTTTAACCAAGATTTGTACAGAAACAAGTATTCCCAGCGCGATGTTTGAAAGTGATAAAGACACTGCTACAAAGTTCCTTGGATTCCGCAATCGTTTTGTGAAGACCACTGCAATAATGATAACCATATTAACGATGATGATAATGATGGAGAGAGTGACAACAAGTGAAGTGAAGACTTTCATCTCTGTTGCGTTGACGACAGTTTCATTATGCATTGCGTATCGGATCCGTATTGCTCTTGGGATGATGAAGATATTCCTGAAAAAGTACATGTAGGTTTTCAATAAGAAGTGCAAATGTTGGTCAAAAACTTTTATATTTTGCCATGTCTCGGCCAAAATTTGCATTTCTGATCAGTAGTTATTACAAAAACATCGAAAACTAACAAAAACCTCAATGAAACTAGTGCGAAAATAGAATCAGAACATGACTTATGCCATTAACAACGATGGATGACATAACCAAAATAGAACAAATTAAATTAACTAAAACAAATGAAATTGACAAATGTATGGTCATTAATCATTCTAACAATTGTTATCAGACATACCAATCACAGCTGATAAGAGATGTGGACTCTTCTAGGAGGGACAAAGCAATGGTGATTTCATTTGAAAATATCAATACACTTGTAGGATGTTTCATGTTACATTAACAATGGCTACAGCCCCTGTGATCCTTCCCCTCTCTTTACTTGACCACATTCTCAACAGTTATTGTAGATGGGGCAAGATTCACAAGGGCTTGTAGCTAGACTTTATTGTGAAATATATGACTTCTGATACATATGGCATGCTAGTGAAGTGTGCAATGTTTAGTTTCTTATGTACAATTTGAGTAAATTAATACAAAATAATAGGTAAAAACAAAAGTTTTAGAGCAAAAATAGCTTTTTAGCTAAAAATCACAATTGGACGGAACCAGCATTTATTTTTGTACCTTAAACGTCGTGAGGTTAATAGGGAGTTTAAGCTTGCAATGTTTTTTTTACTAAACGTGAATGGAAAATATTTAAGCGATGCATTTGTATGGACGATTGGTCATACGTTTAGCCATACGTATAGGTTGGCGTTTCGATTTTATATGCAAGCTTAAACTCCCTTGTATCAGTCTATTACCTCTTAGTTTGCGTCAATCCTACGGGACCAGTTTGCAGTCGCTTTTCGTTGGTTTTGATTGCTGAGATGATAAGCAAGTTTGATTTTACAGCCATGAATGGGACGCATTTAAACAAATGGTTGCTTTTCTAAATCAAACTTTAAACTCGTGCTAGATGATGTGATTTATCCATATGTTTTCAATTATTAAAATGTATCACGATGTCACGTTTACCCGAAGCGTCTTGGCATTATTTGTTTTTGAATTGTTCGTCGGACTCCAAATACAGTTTGATAAATGCGTTTCACTTTAAAATGCATTTTATTAACTGCATTCTTTATATGTATTCCTATTGTTTAATAACGATCACTCTTCGACATATCCAAATTAAGCATTTACCTGTTGACTTCCATCGAGAAGTATTTAGACCCGTGTGCTTCTGATGAATACCAAATTTTTGAGAGTAGAATCGTTACCATTTCGGTCTGTACATCCCTGGAGCTGTTCTTGAAATCTTACGTTCATTCTTATTCGATTCTTCAGCCTGGATATAGTCAACAGGCTTTTCATGCCACCAATTTATCACTCTTGTAGTTCTATTTATATAAAATATTGAAAGTCAAGTTCACGTCTTATCCTGTGCTTCGAGTATTTCCGTATTATGTTGAGTGGTAGTGCTAGCTATATTAATGACTACCGCACGCTATATTAAGTTCTCTAATTTGTTTTTATTCAATTAAGGTTTTTACTTTTTAGCCGTCTTCGTATATCAAAGTTCAGGCGACTTACACTTTTATGGTCCTTGTATATGCTCCGCTGTATTCAAGATAACTTAAATGGAACTAAATCTATCGTATCACATATTATGATCACATTGATCTTCAAATTCCTTATTCTCCGAGATTTTTGTATGTCATTATTTACAGTTTCAAATCGTTTTGATAATGTTATGCGCAAGCGTAAATTCTTCAAAATATTTTGAGAGCAAAATCCTCTTTAAAAATTTTCTTTACAATTTAATACTCATCATAAATAAGTTATAAAGTATCACTTTTTGAAATAACACGACTTTATTAACAGTCTGACATGTGTCTATGTCTTCGCGATCCTACTGTAAATGTTAAGAACGCAATTAATTAAGTTAATTAATAATTGATAAAAATTAATTGTAGAAGTTTATATTGTAGAAATCCATCAAATTACACTCAAAGCATGACATATTCTTATAAGCCTCGATAAAGAAGCTCAAATATACACGATCGATGAACTATGCTTCAGATTTTTAATCCATATTAAACCAAGCATGAAGGTCCTTGATTTTGCGTTTATTAAAATCAATTATAATCCGAAGCTAAATGTTCAAAAAAATCGAAGAACGCTTAAAAGAGAATTCAAAGTTAGGCAAGGTGTGTCCAATTCTAGCCAATCAGAACCCGCTATTTCATGTAACTGCATTCTGTTATATAACCGATAACGAATTCAAGGTCACTAGTTTCACGGTTGTCATGATGATGGCTGGAATATACAGATTGAAATTAATACTTTGCCAGCTTGACCCTTGCAAAATGTTTCATTGAAAATATGTTAAATTTAGTGATTTCATATATTTTAGATGATTTTCTAAAAACATTTTTACCATTCCTTTCAAGTGTTGTTTCCTAATACTTATTAACACTCGATGGTCCGCACCTCGTGCAAAATTTGGAAAGCTACACCTTCAAGGAATGGTCATTCCACATTGCACAGAGTCAAGAGTTTAAATCCTGAATTTAAGAATCACAAGAACTACGATATCAATTGAACATAACAATTGGTAAATTTTGCAAAATGTGATCAGAAGTAATCGTTATTACTTCATCATTCAGTGAATAGTTTATTGCAGAACATTCAGTACATACCCAAATGCCATGCCATCGAATCATTGAAACGTAGCTTTTATACTTTGACTTAAATAGATGGAACTTAGAAGAAAACTAGAATCAAAATAGTTTTTCCAGCCGAATATTCATAATTCAGTGTGATAAAATATATATTATGACATGAGTACGACATTTAGATAAGTCCTCATTCGATTTAATCAATGTTCATGGAACTCATTGGACACAATAAAAACTGTTCGTATAATCGTTCCTCACATATATGTGTCATTTAAAACTCACAATATTTGACAATTTGACATGTTTGACATTTTATTTTCATATGGTTATAATTATGCAGTTGCATAGTCGTTTTATTTATCAATTTTATCATTCAATTCAATGTTCAGTGTAGAGGCAATTGGCACTCATACGGGTGTTTATAGTTACATGTACATATGATTATATTACATTGATTGTTTTAATCACGAGATGACAAGACAGAAAACTGTTTTTAAAATAAAGTTAAGAAGGTGAAAAGTAACAAAAGAGAAAGAGATAGATAATTATACTTATACCATAACAAATATCAATTCAATTAAAATTAAATGTCAATCAATTAAAATTAAATATCAATTCAATTAAAATTAAACTTTTTCACGTCATAAATTGCCCTGCATGACCAAAACCATAAAAACATAAACATAAAAAACATAAAAAAGAGAAGGTTACTGCATGAACTTATTGAACGACCTGGTACAAGTACATGTTTTCTAATTAATCCTTTTTGCTATTGTATCTGTAAATTGGTAAAAAATGGCATCACTGAACTTATAAAAGAATAAGTACATATGATAATGCAAGATGAGGGATAGGACATGTTATTAAAATTAGTAAAATAGTTAAAACAACTAAAGAGTATATCATTTATCAATGAAAATGAATTACGGAATGCAGTTTGGCGTTTCCTACATCCACATGTTAATTACCGCTACATAACGCCATATCTAACATTAGATTTAGGTATTAATGAACTAGTTAAAAAATAAGCATAATATGCTAATGCAAGATGAGGGATAAAAATTAATATAGCTAACTGAATTTATGACTAGAATAGTAGATATCAGTTTAAATGAATTGTGTGTATTAAATACACTTTGGCATTTCCTACATCTAACAGGTTCTATACGTCATTAATCTCCGCTACTTAAACGCCGTATCTAAGATTAGATTCAGAATCAGCAACTCATGGACCTAAAATGTGAAACATCTCAAATTCTGTTAAATCTTGATGAGGAAAAGCAACACGATCGGATGATGTAAAGTAACGGAACTCACGAGACATTTATGTCGAGTTATTGTAACCTTTATGCACTTACGAAAGCGTTTCTCATAAAATCAAAGCATAGAAAGCAACACTGTAAAAACACACACTATCTATAGTACCTTAACAATGGTGTTATTGTATTTTTTCAAGTCTAATATGACCCTGCTCTTCCGTCTTAGTTAATCGGGGTCAGCAAGGGTCATAAAGAGAGGAGAGAACATACTCATCGGGGAATCATATATTCTTTCTCCCCATAGTGATAAATACCTTGAACGCAAAATCAAGATGTACATCCCCCATAAGTTCGGCAACTGGAGGTCTCCTTTTGGATAATTTAACAAAGCTTTTTTAATTTTGCCGATTCAAAATAATTCATCCAAGTCATTTTCCGAACTATTGCAACTTGGGAACAACTTTAAGATGCATGTCCTGAAAGGCATCCAATTAAAACGTCCGCTTTCCAAATTTATGGAGGGGACTGTACATGTAAAGGAAAAGTACTTATAATTAATTTGGGAGTCACTCTTATCTACGTTTTTAGTCTGTAGTTACTTGATTATATTTCACTTAAACAAAATTTCGATAACTTTTATTTTGAGGTCAGAAGTTTTCCCTAACATCATATTGGGTTTCCAAGGATTAAACATAATACACCAGATCATGATAGTGGCCCGATACTTGCTAAGATTCCATGATTGCCACCTAGCAGGCACTGAGCCCGATGGGCTTTTATTTTTGACGAGACTAAATGCTATCACCATTAACACATTTTAACAGAAGCACAGTAATATTTCATATAATAAAAACAACAACAATGGGAACAAGATTCAGCTATGATTGATAAGTTTGACTTAACGTTAGGTCATGAAATTTAAGACCACATCTATATGCAACATATACATTGAAGAATTGTTGCATAGTTACAAAATGTAAACCTTTGGCAGCTATAACCACGGTCAGCATGTACTTGTCTCTAAGTGCTCTTTTCTGGTTTCAAGGAACCTTGTTGTTCCGATACCATTCATGATAAGGACAAATTACACACGGAAGCAAATATACATTCGGTTAAGGATTAGTAGGCGAATGCATCATCAGATCCATTCAATTTTTGGATATATAATCTATACTTTTGGCGGAATTTTGTCTGTTGCCGATATACGCTTTGTGAGACCTGAGAGCATTTGACACATTTATCAACTTCGTGAACAATGAATATGATTGTGTCAAGATTTCATTTATCATTTTTATTTGTTCTGTTTTCTCACCAATCTACAGGACGGAGATCAGTAAGTACATAAACATTGTATCTTAACTTACATTTTTATGTTTGTTTTTGACTGTTTCGGTAAAAATCTACTTTAAGTTTGAAGAATCATATAAGCCTGTAGCCTATTGTTTTTATACCGAAAAGTCTCCTCTGTAGGCCAGGCTGGAGGAATACTAGTGTGATGGGTCTCGTTACAAAACAAGCTTACATACAAATGGGGTCGATATTGCCCACTGCCTGACCTACTTCAGGGTTAAGACTGAACGGTCTTGTAGATATTTAATAATATAACCGTACATTTAATCACTAGTGCTTCCAAGGGACAACGAGGCGAACGAGTCCAATTAGGCCAGGGGATTGTCCAGCGGGGTCATCGTTTGGATGTGTACGATTCTATTTCCAAAGACAAGTGCATCACTCGTGCTACAACAAAGATGAAATCCCATGTCCAGGAAGTTTTATGGTAACTTTAATTTAAAATCACCTTCCATTTCATTTCATTTCCATAAACCTACCCTAGTATACATCAATTGAGCAATTACTGGCTTACGTTATCGAAAATTGTTTTTATATTCCTGTCCCCAAAAATTCTAAATCCACTTTTAGGCATTCGGAGGTTCTCAGGTTGTGTGTTGTGAAGAGGACGATTGTAATAGTCCACCAGAGGGAGGATGGGAACGCCACCCCCCACCAGGGGGTTTGGGGCCAGGTGTATTTATACCAACATCCCCGACGCTTACAACAAAGAAACCCAATTTATATGTAAGTAAAGCAAATCGAGTCTTGGCTGCTAAAAGTCTGAGGGGCAATTCGGAACAAGAACAAATTGCGATTGATTGAAATACCTATTGTTGGACCCCTTGGGTCAGTCCAATGGATTGTTAAAATTACCTAATTTTGTAAGGAAAGAAACAACAAGTCGATTCCTTAATACTAAATTTATTTAATAATTTTGAAGTCTTGGATCGAAAACATTACAGAATAATATGTGTTTACTGATAAAAACCTAGCCGAAAAAGTGCTACAAATTCTTTACAACTGCCTTTTATAGTAAGACAGAAGGAAGAAAACTATAAAATACAATGCAATTAATCATTTATAAACATCTCACAATAAAGAAACAGGAATATTCTCAAAGAATATTCTCTTAGGAATAAAGAATATTCACAAGGAATATTCTCCATCATTTATAAACATCTCACAAATAAGGAATAAAGAGATAGGAATATTCTCAAAGAATATTCTCTAAGGAATAAAGAATATTCACAAGGAATATTCTCGATCATTTATAAACATCTCACAAATAAGGAATAAAGAAATAAGAATATTCTCAACTGTCAACAACATGACATAGTGTGAAGAAGTCAAGGAATAATGTATCTTTGGCAAGAAGCCAAAAATGAAGAAACTAATAAATCAATCAGTCCTAATATGAACTAAAAACCCTAAAATAAAATGTCCAACACTATACTAAACACTGACGGATCCAGAAGCTAACAAGGGGGGGGGGGGATTTCAAATCAGGGCCCAGATTTTGAAAATTTAAGGTCCATTTGTGATAAGTTTGCCAAAAAGGCCCAAAAAGGCCAAGCAATGACTTAAAAAGGCCCATTCATTAAGGCCCTTCGAAATCTTTGGGCCCCAAACTTTTTTGGCTCACTTATTTCTGGTCCATCCATGGGGGAGGGGGGTATGGATCCGCCAGTGCTATACATACATTATTAACAGTGAATACATACGTACATGTATAACAAAATCCAGGAGTGATCAGAACTCTCTTATCTGCAAAAAATGCTACACTGTCACCTAATTAATGTTTCACTGCTAATCTTGCCTACACTCCATCATTTTTTATTAATCAACAGCATAGCGGGTGTTTAGATAAACACATCAATACATTCATCTGTGTGTATTTTAGTGTTTTGGTTCTGCCAGCGATGGCTCTGATAACCTACAGAGTACACAGTGTGGCTCAGATACAGGGACATGTGTGAGGTTTGCATCGCAGAAAGGCATGATATACACCTGTCTTCCATCGGACTCTATGGGAGGATTGTCGTGCGAGGAACACATACAAGTAAGTTTATTGAGGACGTCGGTGTTTCGTAAATACTGTGCAAAATCACGTCGAATGTGGATTTTGGAATCCATATGAAAGGAGACGTATATAAACTAGATATTAGGCCCAATCTGAACATTTGCTATGAACATGAACACGTCCACAACAAAATAGTTCTAAATTATCATACTCATTTCAATGAGCCCGCCTCCAAGCTAAACCAGGGGTCCCCTCCGATCCATTGCAATTTGATTTATTATGGTTCTGGCAAGGAGGATTGGCTCCCAGGGTACAACATCGGTATTCTGTTCTATATCGGGTGTCCCAAAAAAATGAGACACTTTTTGCCAAGTATTTTCTCGGCAACTGATGAACCAAATTTTTTGAAAATTTGTACAAAGTAGCCCAGGAAAATTGTTAGTAAGGTGCAGAAATATGACAAAGATCAGATAATTTTTATGCGAGTATTAAGAAATTCAAGATAGCATGTCAAAATGTCCCATACCGGAGCAATACAATGAGAATTTTTATCGCGTTTGTACCAAAAATGGGAAGAAATTAGACAAGTGATTTCTCAGCAATAGATGAGCCAAATTATTTGAAAACTTTACTTGAGGCACTTAAGGGTATTTTCTGCTCGTGCTATAAATATGTAAGAGATTGGCTTCATATTATGTGTGTATTGTTGAATTAAAAACAGTATGTAAAAATAACCAATATCGATGTAAATCTCACTTATTAATCCTTTTCATGCAAATTACCTTTCCGTATTTATTCTTAACAATATCACCTCAAATGAATTTTGAGAATGAATGGATTTTGGATATTTGGGAAGAATGAAATGAATTAAGTAGACATGACACACAGACAAGCTATTTTGACTTATTTACAAATGCTATCACCTGATAGCTGGTAGAAACACTGTAGAGGTCTCATCGCAGAGCTCCGGTATGGGGATATCTGACATGCTATTTTGAATCTCTTATAACTCGGAGAATATTTACTTGATTTGTTTAATATTTGTACAACTTGCTAATGATACTCTCAGGCTAATTTGTACAAATTCTCAGTGAATTTGGTTTATTAGTTGCCGAGAAAATACTTGGCAAAAAGTGTCTCATTTTTTTGGGACACCCGATATATGGACGTTTCGTTCACTTCGACATTAGAATCGTGAATTTTTGTCTTATTTTTCTAACGAAAAATTCCAAAAACTCACAAGAAATGATCGAGATATTGGTTCAGATCGTTTAAACTGTTTATTTTGAATTAATAGACGGTTATAATTTCAGAATTCGAAAATAACGGCATTTCGAAGTTTTCATTGTTGGAAAATATCGAGTTTCGATCCTGGGACTCAATCCGCCTTGTCTTCTGGAGTGTTAGTTAGTTAGTTAGAGTGGTTGGAATTCTTTGAAATTTTTAGTTATACTGTCTTGTAAAAAGCGGGAATACACATATCAAATAGTGTAGAACATGAATATGAATAATCACAAATTAAAAGGGGTATTTTAGTATTCTCTCAGCTTTAAATGAAAATGGAATTAAATGTGAGCGAAAAAGAAAACATCATTGTACAGCCAGAATAAAATAATTTTATTTCATTATTATTTGAAGTCGTCAAACGAATCTTTGAAATTGGACCAAATTGCCGTTAAATAATGACTGGTCACTCCTTAAAACATGTAAATACAATATCAACAAGTTCATAACATAGTGAGGTCCAGAATGTTATTAAAGCCCGCGTCTCTGCTGTTGTGATTCGCTTTGTTCATCAATCCACCGTTGTTTCTTTCACCATTTTTAATTCTATCATACTTGTCATCCGCAACCGGATTAGCGTTTCCATCGCTTGTGAAACCATCGTTCACTGACCCAAGGCCACTCGTCGAACTATTTCTGACCGCTGCTTGTCCGCTATCGATATTCTCACCCATCTTTTTAGTACCAAATAGTTCTGCCTCTTCGAAAGTCTCTGGCAGTCGTTTATTTTTAGTTTCTGGCAGGAGGAAAGCCAGTCCACCAGCAATCAAAGGGAAAAATCCCAAAATCAAATATGGTAACCCGTACCATATGCTTCCTAGTAAAGGTATGTTTGGACTAATTAAGCCTCCTATTCTACCGAAACTGGAACCGCTACCAAGACCGACATTCCTAGCAGGGGTAGGAAATATTTCACCACTGTATAAGTACATTACTCTAAAAACGGTGTTTATTAGCAATGCTCCGCACATTGCTATCGTTGTAGTCAAAGCCATGATCTTTGTTGGCAACAGTCCAATCAAGGACAAAGCTAAAACCCCATTCACAATAAAGAACGTAATGATTATGGACTTTCTACCCATTTTAAATAATACAACCAACAATAGTATTGGAGAAAGAAGATCAGCAACTCCATTGATGATTAAATTGTTCAGGTAAACATTCCCGGGAATCAAAGTACCGACGTTAAGTGCCATAGCATAAGCGCCAAACACAACAGCAAACCATTGGACCCATATCACCAATGTTCGCCTCCTCATGTTCGGAGTACGGAATAAGTCGAGGACTAGAACTTTATTCACAGGTCCTTCATTTTGGTGTTCCTCTTTTGTTGTGACGTCATCTTTCAAGGTAAAATTATCAGGAAGAGTTACTTTATTTATTTTAGCGATTCTCCTGCTTATATCTTCAGCTTCTTGATATCGTCCTTTTGCAATTAACCATCGAGGCGACTCTGACAGGAAAAACACACCAATGAGTCCGGGAATGGTTACCAAAGCTGATATAATCTGAAGCCATTTATGACCTCTTACGAAGAATGCCGTTAGAGTTAATAACGCTCTGAGTATACGCAATATGGAGCTATAAAGTGTAGCGTGTGTCCTATGGACAGGCTGCATCATTTCAAGAGAAAGGACCCAAAGACTCGTGTATGCTCCGATTGACGCCAATAGAGAAAGCCAGCGCATTGCTAAAAAGAGAATGAAGTTATCAGAGAAAGCTCCACCAGTAATGGCTCCAATTGCACAGACCATCATTCCTAATGTCGTTGGCTTTCTACCAAACTTGTCTGATATAAGTCCAGCGAGGAAAGCTCCAAATAGCAGTCCTAACATTTGGAAAGTAGCCGGTAGGGTATACATCCAGTTATTTTCACAGACAAGTCCATATTGGCTCACAGCGGTTGAGTAACGCTCAGATTGATCAAACACCCACCCACTGTTGCAAGCAATTTCAGAAATCGTTTCATTCCTCATCCATGTATCTATGATATTGGGATCGGTGAAGTTGATAGCGCTGTAGTTATAATTGAACATACTACATTGTTTGAATACCGTATCCCCCAATTGGCCAGTTGTCTTGGGGATAGCAATGTGCTTCTGCATGGTTTCATTAAAGTGCTGCAACTCAGGTACCTTACACCAATGGTCCATCCTACCAGCGATAAACACAGTAAGGATATACTGCCAACCGTTCCCTGCTGAGAACACGTTCCATACTACCATTACCAATAGTTGGTATCGCCCAAATCCTCCAAGCAATCCCAAAGCATCGTCAAACTTCATCTTGGTGTATCTGATGGAGTCCGTAATGAACACCACTTTTGGAGAAATGGCAATCATAAAACAAATTATCAATGATAGTATCTCTTTTATTTACATCTTGATGTTTGGTATTGTATTTAAGGATAAGACCGTTAAACTTTAACAGTGATTATTTTTACAAGTATTTAGATGTCTTTTATTGAATAAAATTTTGAATGGCCCTCTTGAATGATCAAGATCGGGCGTCTTGTGACACGTTACCATGATTGATTGTGTGTGTTTAGTACACTTGAACATGTTTGTTATCTGTCATGTTTTTATTGAGTTAGCACTCTCCACAGTTGTCTTCTTTTGTCAGAGGAGCATACCAAGTCCAATGCCAAGAGTAAAAGGCGGTTGACATTGTAAGTGAAGAGACTGTGAATTGTGAATCCTGCAAATTACAAACACTGTAAAAGAATTGTAGACCGTATATTGGTAACTAATAATGTTAAACAAATAATCATATATTTTGTCCTTACATCACTACCACGCCTTACCATCGCGTAAGCAGGCGTCACCGTACAGCGTCAAAAATACAGTAGTACCGTTTTCTGTACGGTGACGAAAATAAATTGAGTTGAAGCAAAAACTATAATGAGGGTTTTAAAAAAATGAATTAGCTGAAAATAAATACGATTTCGGGTGTAATAAAAATAGCATTCTCTTACGAATGGTTTTAACTTTCTAATTATGGTAAAAGTTTTTCGAGCACTGCTCGGATTTTTTCTGACTGGATCGGCCCACATAATCGACTCGAGGGAAAAATGTTGCTTTTTCACTTTTCGTTTGGTTATTATCTTCCCTGTCGTCTGAGAGTATGGATTATTTTTATGAGAATGTGTATTTGTTATCTACACATTTTAGAACAGATGAATATTCGGCAAATAATCATTCAGTATATTTATTTAAAAAATATCAGATCTGTACGATGACGCATCAGCTGTGCGGTGACGATTCCTTAGATTTTATGAAGTGTAATATATGACCTCAGTATTAACTTAAGATTCCATAAGTTTTTGTGTGGAAATTCAAATGATGTATCCCAGTCAACATTGAAAAAGATCAATTCTTATGTTACCATTAATTTCTGATAACAAGGATTAAATACTGAAACACATTCAACTCTAGGCTTACTGTTCGAACAAGAGGTAAAGAAGCGTCAGATCTACAAGTACATTATCACTGGTAAGAATCAAGCGAAGGTTACAGCCGTCACATTCGCATTTAAGATGGCGGACAGGAAGTATTAATTTCGATATTTTTAGTTTTCATGGAATTAACTATGTGAAAGTTGACGTAATGCTTTGATATCATTTGAACTAAACCAGGCTTTTCTCATATGACTAACAAAGATAGCCTACACAGCCATCTTTACGCCATGCAAGATATTGCATCGTTCATCCTAAAAAGTCACTCGTGAAAGATGAGATTTACTTGTGACATCCCTTGTTTTAAAACAGCAATAACATAGCAACAAATATACTGAGTTTTTGGTTTCATGATCCTTACCGTATCACACATTTCCAGTAACCTTCCATTAAGCGGTGGAAGATGTCGTTAAACTGTAGCGCCCATGTACTATAATGAACAAATGATCATACTCCAGAGTTTCCATTTCATATAAGCTTAGTCTCATTAAGTTCATCAAAGCATAGCGCCGACTATAAAGAAGTTTAATTCGATGAAAACTAAAAATGTCGAAATCGACACTTCCTGTCCGCCATCTTAAATGCAAAAGAGACTGCAGTAACTTTCACTTGATACTGATCAGTTTGACAACATTTATACGATGGATACTTGATTGAATCCATATTTGAACTTCCACACCAAAACTTATGCGATTTGAAGTAATAAATAATGAATTCTTTATATTACTTCTCACAGATTATAATGAATCGTCACCGTACAGCTGATGCGTCACCGTACAAATTTGATCTTTTTCAAATATACATAATGAATGGTTGATTGCTGAATCTTCGCCCGTTCTAAAATGTGAAGTCAACAAATACATATTCTCATAAAAATAATCCATACTCTCAGACGGCAGGGAAAATAATAACCAAACGAAATGTGAAAAAAAACTTTTTTCACTTGCGTCGATTATGTTGGCCGATTCACACAGAAAAAATCCGAACAGAGCTCGTAAAACGCTTATCATAATTAGAAAGTTAAAACCATTTCTAAGAGAACACGGTCTTTATTTCACATGAAATCGTATTAGTTTTCATCAAATTAATTTTTTTAAACCCTAGTCATAGTTTTTGCTTCAAACCAGTTAATTTGCGTCACCGTACAGAAAACTGTACTCCGCTAATTTTGGACGCTGTACGGTGACGCCTGCTTACGCGATGGTTAGGCGTGACTACATACGGTACAAAGCCTAAATCCCCTAGCACACCGTTGCTGTAGTATTATAGTATTATCTCCGGAACCCTCAGGCGTCATTTGGACACCCGTGTATTAGAACGTAACGTAACATTTCTGCTCTGAAAATGAAATCAGATTTGCCGCCCTGACTTGATATCCAAGATATTTTGATAACATTTTGGAAGTGTTGGTGGTCCACCATCTTAAAATGTGGCTTGAACACGGTAAGGAGGATACATATAATCTCAGTTGAGTATTATGAGCTGTTTAGTACATTTTTAATATGTTCGGTCAAATTCCGAATACTAGGATTAGATATTTTTGAGTGAAATCGGGATATCAGATATTGGGATATGTTTGACGGTATTAAGAAAAACAGCCCTTATAGAAATGCATTTAACGTCCGTCGACACTTTAACAGTCCCGTAATTTGGATCAATTTTCTCCTTGCACCCCTTACCCTCCAGACACCTCATTGACTCTCATATAATGATTATACACGCAACTATATTGAGTGCAGAGGTTTACTGAAAAGAAACGCATAACCCTTAAGGTGTAATGACCTTAGCAGGTCGCTACTACAGTCCCATCTGTAGTGGCTAGCCTTTATGGCTCAGGGGTAGAGTGTCTGCCTCGAGAGCGGAAGGTCCTGGGTTCGATTCATGAATTGAATTTAGCACAATCTCTTTGAATCTAGTATCTGACTCGGTACACTACAGCTCCCGACGGGCGTGCCCAAGGGTCGTTACAAGGCTAAGGGTATGTTATAGCACATATCCTGATAATAGCACTATATCATTGTTGTTTAAGGATGATGCCGTGGCACGTAAAATTCAATTACAGATTATTATTTTTTTCAAATTAACTATAAAACAAACATCATGTGTGTGCTCATTGAGTTATCAGGTTCTAAATGGACCTTTAAATGGTAATCACACATTTCAAACATAAACTTCAAGATAAGCATGGGGTTAATTCGCCATTTTCTGTCAGAATGTTGCATTTAATTAGAAAACTTCTTAATTTTCTCAAGTAGGTCAAAATACCGTTAAAACATGTAATCCTTGAACCTGAATTGCTGTTTTCTTAACAACTTAATCGTTTCCTATCATTTTTAAATTCATGGATAGATTGATACAGAACTTATTTAAATGAATAAACGATAGTAAACCATACACTCCAGTATCTACACGAGTTGAGTTCAATTGTTTAATGTTTTATATGTCTCTGAAAAGAGTAAGCACATTTGACATTGAGTTAAAATATAAAATGTTTACATGATTTGGCCTTGGTGTACGATTTGCATTAAAACATTAATATGTTACATTCAAAATATAACTTTTATTGACATTAGTCTTTAATAAAATGCCTAATTATTTGTGAGATAATATGGATTTGATTATATTGAACAATATAATTCTAATAATATTTGAGATTATCAGATTATATGGCGGTTCTGCAAATAGCCTTATCTATCTCTTATTTATATCTACAGGGTGTCCCGAAAGTATGGCCCCCCTAGGCAGACATATTCCAGTGTCCTCATAGTATGTGTCATATCTCATTTTAAAGCTTATCCGAAGTTACATTGATTTGCCAAGTATCATGGTTTAACTTCAAATGGTAAAAAGTTACAGTCATTTTAAAAGTTAGTGTTTTGTCAAAATAAAGTTCAATTTTACACCACATTACTAGTCAATGAGTCCCCACTTGGCCATGTTAACATCCGCAATTCTTTTCAGATATGACCTTAAAAGCCCTTCAAATAGCGGTGTGGAATTTTATAACCTTCTTAAAACCTGTTTAGGCACTTTAGAGGAGTTTCCTTAGAGTTTCTACCCTCATCGTTCTCTTTTTCCAACTCAATATCCATCCGACCCGAAAAAGATTGCTGCTGTTATAGATGGCCCAGGAGGACACATTGACTAGTGATTTGGTGTAAAATTGAACTTAATTTTGACCAAACACTAAATTTCGAAATGCCTGTAATTTTTTTCACATTTGAGAGTTGAACCATGATACTTGGCGAATCAATGTAACTTTGGATAAGCTTTAAAATGATATATGACACATACTATGACGACACTGGTATATGTCTGCCTAGGGGGCCCCATACTTTCGGGACACCCTGTATATTATGTGTTTATTTCTTTTTATGATTCTACTCTCTTCTGTTTGATAGCGTTTGGGAGGATTCGACCCACTGTGCTGCCGAACCAACTATTGCAACGAGCCACCACAAATAGTAAGTCAAACACATTTATCCTTACATTTGAAAACGTTAGTCTATTCAGAAGTGTTCCAGATGCCAGCATATGCTTTAGTTGCAACCATAGGCCGATATAAAGATGGCAGCACGATTACCATGCCATCTTTATTTAAAAATTATTTTTATTTATCTCAGCCTATTGCCAGTTGCAACATTTGAAATGACGCAGGTATTAAAGTTCCGATATCCATTTAGTATTTCTTCGTCAAGACTGTGGACACTTATCTACTTCACAAACAAAATAAAGTAGTTATGCTTGGGGAGGGGGGGCACAGGGGCTTGTAGCTTACCCATCATTTAGTCCCCTAGCTAGCTGGTAAGAAAGGTGCACTCGATGATTCAGTGTGACATGTACTGAAGAGTGTGGGGGGAAGAATTAGATATTTTACATTTATGTGCGTTTGAGTGCAGCGATATTAGCTCATAAATGTTTTCTTAGGCGTCGTGTAAATGGAACTGGTGTTCGGTGATTGAGTGTGTTTATTCAAGCGTGAACTTCGTTGTAGTGTAATGCCTTGGTCACATTTGCTCCGATTTCCACTACGGCGCCCGGCCGATTGAGTATTTTGTTCAAAATTGAATACAATATTGAACAAAACACTCAATCGGCCGGGCGCCGGCCGATGGATCGGAGCATATGTGACCAAGGCATTAATGTGATGATATCGTGTTGCTTCATTTCTGAGCTTAGTCACTGAACCATACTCATAAAATTTTTGAAAAATGTATTTCTGTATTTTTAGTATGTAGTATTGATATATATTGTAAAACATTTACATGTCTTTGATTAATCGCGTACCTTTTCTGTTGCATCTTTTAAATGTGCGCTTGGCTTTCAAGGTTCAAACATCGACTTTGAATCTACCTTCATGCATATTTCGAAAAATAGATTCATCAGAGAAGGTTTTAGACCAGGCAATCACATCTATAGTCGGCAAAACCTTATTTCTAATCATTTTATCCTCTCTATATCGCCGTGTCACTTATAGAACAAAAGTCGATTAAAACACTTAAATGGGATTGAGTCGCATGCATCACTCGCAATACAATTTGTGATTTATAGATGGCAGGACAGTAGTCACTTAGGTATTTGTAGCATTTACATATCAAGGAGGATTAGCTCACAAAGTGCAACAACGATATTTTTGCGATAAATGGGCATGTCATGATTACAAAATCTAATTCAAATAGCCGCCATTTTGTTCACTTCAACATTTGAATCGTGAATTTTGACCGAGATATTGGTTCCAATCTTTTGGACTGTTTATTTTGAATTTATAGTTGGTTATAATTTCAGAAACTTCGACGTTTTCATTGTTGGAAAATATCGAGTTTCGATCTCAGGAGCTAATTTTCCTTGAATACATATAATGGAATTTATTTATACTTTATATAGATGGCATGATCGAGGCGGTAGCATCGAGGCTAAATGAAATCTAGAATCGGGAAACTTGTTGATTAAAATGGTGAGAGGCTGTAGGTGTTTTCAGTATTATAATAGGTCGCAATGTGATATTCATATTTGGCCCTTTTCAAAATTAAAGGCCCATTTTTGATAATTTGGCGTAAAACTAAAAAATGCCAATTGAAGCGGCCCATTGCCCTGCTCCAGACGCGCCAATGTTATCACTTGAATTGTTGTGGTTTAATCTAACAATGCAATTTTTAGCTCTTATTTTTAGTTTAACGAATACCAATGACAAATTACTTTACCGAAACACAAATCGCATTTAAAGTGAGGATGCTTACTTTGGTTGCATGAAATGAAGTGAAAATTGGTTGAGTCTCAAATGAAGGATGCATAATTGCCCCTATTCACATCATGTAGATTAATCGTTACACAATACAATTTAGAAAAAAGGTTCCTTTAATTGTCGAAGGTGACGCCTGGATTGCAACCTGATAAATCAGTTGCTCGAGAAGTGTGTAATAACGTAGAGATTTATTGCGTACTTGCTAAGCAATGTTACTGTGATTTTGAATTTGTTGCCTGGCAAAACGGCTGGTTTATTACAAACTGTCCATATTTATCGAGTAACCCTCTTGTACCCGTCACCATGGGTTAAAGAAGTGTCGTGTCTGATTGCTCTGTTTTACTATATCGATCCAACAGTGCAGAACCGTAGAGTTTTTCAATCCATCGGGAGTCAGGTATCGGTAAGTTTACATTGAATCTAAAAACTATAGGTACTGCTTTTAGAGGAATATGGTTATTTTTGTGAAAGGGTCTCAAATCAATTAAATGACTATACTATTTAATGCAAATTAAAACATTCGAGGAACAATAACATATCAATGGCATTTGATTGCTTTGCTACAGAACATGTATCAAGTGAATAAAGCTAGTAGAGTCAAAGGACGTCAAAAATTGCACCTGAAAGCAATGTCACTCCATCCTCGTTAACTGAACGTAAAGAACGAACCATTGAGGATGTTGATCCTATAGACCACTCTAAATATACTTTCCCGGAGAAGTCCATGAGCAAACTTTGAACTAATGCATTTAACATTTAACTACAAATGTTTAAAGCACTTAATCAACTTAAACTGAGACTAACATAAAAAAAAATTTTATGATGGTCTCAAGGCTTATATAAGAAGCACCAAATCATTAATTACCCCCGGACAGTAACCGGTAACGTATTTAATCTGAACAACATGTTCAAAATCTAAGATCACCAAGAATTTGATCTCAAGTTCTAATAGGGTCAATGTAAGATGGGATTACCAATCTACATCCTCGGTATATTATATATATGGGGTTCTTCGTTCATCTTCTTTACTACTTTTACCATTTGTCAATGAGGTTTATTGTCGGGATACTTGTACAGTACTGCGCGCAGAGTCTAGTTATAAACGAAGCTTTTTTAAGAAGTGAAGTCGAACGAATGCAAAGGGTAAGATACTTGCGACAATGGAAAATAAAGCAAAGCACTTAAATATGCATGATATCGTATTGCACTTTCGACAGTCTCCTACACAGGGGTTATCAAGTGTATAATGTAACGTATGTCTCTATGGGACGCAATCTTAGAAAGACCAATCAATGATTGAGTTTTATTCAGTCCAGATGAATGGATGTCTTCACTTAATTAGTGGCTAACTAATTGCGTTAGTGCCAAGAGACTACCGTATACATGTATATATTATACGCTTAAATCAGACTCGAATATCACATATTCGAAGTTCATCTAATTCTTGCAGGCCGTATATCCAGCTTTTGCCAGCTCTCACAAAAAGGTTTGAAGGGGTTCACATTTGCCAATTTTCCTCCAAAATCACCCAAAAACTGTATGATTTGGGATATCCATGCATTATATATCATTACAGCTGAATCGGACAGTCCGAACGGGCATTTCATGATCTATTACATTTTCAATTTCAGTATATTTTTATTTCAACTTTTCTTGTCAACTATATATACTTGTCACCATAATCCAAATTGAAATCATCCTAGGCGGAATATCATATAGCTAAACTGAAATATCACATCCAATAACAATTACATTGAAACTGAAATGTAATTTAACCTAAATACTTGTAAAACAACAGTATCTATACAAATTGAATTAAAATCTGTAATTGAATTACATTCAAATTGAAATATCATTATTTGCAAATTGAAATATCTAAAATATTTCATACGTTGCTATATTTAATGCGCTGAAAATTAGATTTTAAGATGTAACTCACTAGCATTATATTTATACAAGAAGTTAAGAAACAAGTGTGTCATGGATTATTAGATTCACACGCACATGGAACTATATTCATTTGATGGAAGTCTAAGCGTATGGATTCCGGATTTTCCAGAGCTTTTGGTTTGGGGCTATTTGTGATAATATGAAATCCATTGACTCGACCTTTATGAAGCATAAATAATTGATATGTCCATTTGTTTAATGATATAAAAGATCTAGGTTGTATGTAAGAATATACTTATTTATAGTCTTCGGTATTTCACGCTGAGAGCTCGCTTATGTGTTTTTTCTCCGGGGTCTCAGTTATAGCCAGAAATAGCTTGAATACCATATATCGGAGTTCCAAAATAATATATAACCATTGCAGAATTGAATATAATTGGTCATGGTATACCGTACATACCCCGGGGATTTAGGTCGATTACATTATATAGCACTGTACGAATCTCCCTTTTGAGCAACATCAAACAATTAGAAAGTGCACACTGTTCAAGATGAACACACACCAAAAAAAAAGCTTTATATGAAACGAAAAAAGATAAATAAATAAAAAGCAAATAAAAATCAAGTGTACAAACACAATCTTGTGTGCATAACAATTTTACATGAATGCTCATAAAAATCACTAAAATAAACCTAAAGAAAACACTCGACGTGAACTGAACGATATTGAATATGAAAACATTTACATTAACAACAATCGAGAGGTTAGTGTATATTACCAACTTTATGTACATATTGACTCAGTCGGCATGATGTTGACCTTACCGCAGAAAATTACGATACGCAATAAAATGGACCGTATAATATAATAGACATGGTTCACATTAAGGCAAGAGGAATCTGAGCCAATACAATTGCTAATTATATTAGAGCATATAGAAGTGAAGTCCATATTGAGCAAGATCAACGTCTATTGGGGAATTGGTCTACGTTCATTAAGTGGAATACATCATTACAGCGACGCTCGGGGCTCTCCCAGAGCGCTCCCTTGGATTATATACTGCTGTGTACATACATCTGATATCAGGAAACATCGTTTTTTCACAACTGGGATTTCACAAGAGATATCATGATCATTATATAACACAATCATGTGAGAATATTTGTAGGATTTTATGTAATTAATTAATGCGTGCTACATGGTGATGACACGTCGCTACGTGTGATTTAAAGAGGAACGTAAGATTTGCACTTTTCACCTCAGTAGTTCTACGAAGATTAGATGCTGATAATAAATACTATAGCAGGTATTTGTTCGGTTACGGCATTCCACTACATGATTTGATATTTTCAGTAATTAGCTGGCCGACTATTGAAAGACATTTAAGTGAAAAATTGCATAAAACACCTGGGTTCCGAGATATTTCGATCTTCCTTTTGTACCTGGATCTGCTATAATTAAATATTCTATACCTGGTTTAAAAGAAAGTAGATACTATATCCTAATGGTTGCAAATTGAATTATGAAACTTGCATTAAGTTAACCATCCCCTCTGTGAAAGTAAACGAGGGTCCGGGATGTATGGTTAGCCTGACATGTACCAATCCTGTTGCTGTCGATAGAGACATCGGAGAAACGGAGGAATAAAATAACAAGAAAGAGTCTGACATTTCACTTAACTCTCACGCAAGTTGGCAACAGAATAAGAATCATTACTTGTGTAGTGGTCATACTGCCATAGGCGATAAATATGTGGATAGAAGGCATGATGATGATGGAAACGATGCAGCTTCTCGCGATGATAATTATATCACAGATTCAGGTATGGGTATTTGTGTCGTGATAACATATCCGTGTCGATTCGACGTCAGAGTAAAAAATGCAATCGCGCATTGAAACAACATAGTTTATATTTGAAACAATGTTTTCCCACCCGATCTTATTTTATCAAATACACCAAATGGCAACTTACAAATTCTGCAATTTAGATACTAGCTTGATTAAACAGTACTTTTCTGATAAATACATATAATGTTTATATTGAGAATGTTTATGAGAACAAAACAATATACTAGGTCGTTCAATAAGTTCGCGGAAAATGCTCTCGTCGAAATACAAAAGGGCTAATCTGATGATCTATGTATTAGACTACGGCCCACTCTGATAATTGTAACTCCTTCCTTACATGAAAGGTTACACATTCCAACCTATTTCAAACCATCTGTATGATGATACTAGACACTTTCTGGGTAGTTGGACTTTCTATAGGGGTGGCAGACGTCCCTCAGAACAATTTATACCCCTACCCCCAAAAAACCATGGGGGTACTTTAATACCACCCAATAAAAAGAATACTAATGCATGTCAGATATTCATTGTTTTATATTATGTAGGGCATGTTATGGTTAGTAAGTGCCAGAAATCTCCAATCTCTAACTGATATGGTTACCATAGAAACAGTATTTATATCTTGAAATATTCTCAATTTGACCCCCTCCCAAATGTGTCCTTTTGATCTCAAAGTGAAATATTTGCAAATCTGTTTGGATTTTATGGCTGCTACTTTGTCAAAAATTGTATCAATATGTATATTTTAACATTTAAATGCTGAAAAGTGTTCATAATGATCCTATAAATCAATAATATTTATCAAATATAGTCACACATAGCTCCTTTTAGGGAAAAGTGGGCGTGGCACTTTTTGGTACGTGTGTACTTGTTGCAGCATTAAATGAAAAATACATATTATACTAACAACAATTGACATTTAATTAGCATCTACTTATGTTATGTAACATTGTAATATGTTCATTATCATTATAAGACACTTTAAATATTTTATATAAGTGTTATCCTGACCCTTCCCTTTATCCCTACACCCTTCAAGGTGGGCATTGCCAATCGTGTCAAGTTAACATTTCTGTTTGATTTATTTTTACCATAGACAAGGTACAAAAGCTTTACTATGAGTACTGACCTTATTAGGTGCTAAACTGATGAATGGATAGGTAGATGGCAGCACTTGTGCTGGTTGGACTACACGCTAGCATCTACCATAGACACATATTGATTTACCATATTTGTTATTTTGGATTAAAGTAAAACTGCTTTCGCATCAAACTCAATGAGATTCAGATTGTGTTTGAAACTAGATGATCTTCAGATTTTGTGTGAACCTTAAATTCATGACAATCAAAAGAATTCAACATTTAGGAAGTCAACATTAAGATTTTTAACATCGTCTCAATGAGAATTTAGCCCGACCTTTTTCAGAAAGTTAAAGATCATAGAAAATTGAACATAATCAAAGTTCCTCAGTAGAACATTTAATCTCCTAAAATCACATTAAAACTATATCAGCAATATTTCCAAGCTAAATAGTATAAAAACTTCTATCACATCATTTGCAACGTTTTCATTATTCGATAGTTCAACCCTATATGAATTATTGATGATTTTAAAAGTGCAAGGAATCTAAATGAATCAGGGAAGCCAGTGATATGTATTTGCCTTATTAATTGTTGACTTATACAATGAAATAGACCTAGATGCAAGTAGAAATAATCTTGCTTTACATCATTAAAAATTCAAAATTCAGTCAAATAAGTGATATCATATTTGAAATCTTCATGTATAATTACATTTCTTCATGCAATAAGTTAACCTTTTAGTGAGTAGTTGTGACTAATGTAATCATGTACTTATACAATTTGTCAGTAAAAGTTATTTATCCTATACTTAGTGTTATAGGTAAATAAAACGCATGAATATAATTGATACCTTAGGTCAGTGGGGATATACATGTACTGCATATCCCGCTTTATCCCATACTTGGTCGTGTTTCAGGTACATAAAGCAGGTTTGTAAAAACTTATATTTTCATCAGCAGGCAGATATAGCTTTATGTCCCGTTGCGAGTGGGCAGATATAGTATATCTGCCCACTCCGTCATAATCGCCCTCGGGCAGATATATTATATTTGCCTCGGGATAGTCTCAATATCCTGAACCTCATATAGGATAATCTCTATGTATCGCCAGGTTAATCACCCGCTCAGTAATCCCCTGCAGGAATTTCATTCTGTGCAATTTTTCATATTTTCGTATTTTAGTATATGATAAATAATTTTGGGTACAAGGTATAACCCTTGGGAAATACAATATTCTACCCTCAACCCCTCGGGGAGGTATATTGTATTTCCCTCAGATATATTGTATTTCCCTGTATTAAAAACTTACCATTAATTAAACCTCATATATAATGCACACGATTTTAAATTAGAATCAAAACTATGAATTAGTGATATCCATGTTTCTAACGAAAGCATGAATTTGAAAGAAACAAACATTCTACTCATATGGTATAAAGATATTACCAGTTGTGTCCATTTTAGATTTGATTGAAGAACTTCATTAGAGGCAATTTTGAAATTACAATATATTAAAAGAGGCTCTGTTGCTTAGATGGGAGAATCAATTAGCTGCATTGTTCAGTTTATGACAAAACTGATGTTTAGTGTTACTTTCATGAACACCCATCCTGTAAAATAGCATTTGGAATCTAGTAGTTTGTATATAGATGAATTAGATAAGGCATTGTCGAGGGAAAATATCCAACAAGATCCAACTTAGAGTTTGGTTTTTCTTACTAAGTTCCATTACAACTTTTGGTCCTTTCCCTTTGGCACTAGTGCTTATACTGTATATTTACTAGTTTGCTCATGAAATTAGGTATACTTTAACTTGAAACAATTTGTAACACTCAATTTTTGGGGTTTGGAGATCGAAGTAATAATGATGAAAAACAAGTAATTTTAAAATATTTATGTTTTACCCAAATTTTTAAAGATTTTTGTTAGCCTTTGTTTTGTTTGTTTTATTCTCAAATAAATCATGGTCATCAATTCTATTGTGACATAATCATCATTTACCAAATTTAAAATTAAATATTACTAGTTAGAGAATGTGATTTCTTACTTTAGGTTATATTTATATCCCGATTTATATGTATAATAATAATTGATGAAGACGAATAGAGATTATCCTCTATGAGGTTCAGGGTATTAGAATTATCCCGAGGCCAATATAATATATCTGGCCTAGGGTCGTTGGTCCCGAGAGAAGATATTTTCTATTGGCCAAAGGCCTTAGGTCCTGAGGGAAGATATATTATATTCGCCAAGGGATAATCCTAATAACATGAACTGACTATAGGATGATCTGTTTATCCCATATCAATCTTTCTTATCTGGTTCACATTGTTCAATAACCCAGATGCGAGTAGAAATAATCTTGATTTACGTCATTAAAAATTCAAAATTCAGTCAAAGTAATATCGTATTTGAAATCTACATGTAAAATTACATCTAGAAATGTGGTTTTAAAAAGTGTTTATCAACTTTGAAAAATTACTTTTCTTCGAATATGTGACTTCTAGCTCGGGGAGATTCCCCATAGACCCCATGCTATAAAATCACAAAAATGAAATATCTTTTCTTTTAGTGGACAGATTGTATTGTATTGTTGTATTTTGTTTACCACCAATGAAGGTGAGCAATACCTCTTGGGTATGTCCCGTATATATACGGTCGTAATTTACGTAATTAGCATGGAAGATAGACCCAGAAACCCCTCCTTGAAGGAGCCCTGTGTTCTTTTATGTGCACATATACATAGACATATAAGTACACACCACAGCCTTTTTGTACGAGTTGCGGACCACTCAGTCAAACACCCTGAAGTACTTCACGCAAACAAGCAAATTTAGTCTTGCCTGAACCGGGGATCGAATCCGGGACCTATTGCGTAAGAGGTACCTGCGCTACCGCTGAGCTACACGGGTGGACTATAATATTTTGCTTTACTGGACATATTTTCATTAGTATAAGTATTAGACACATAAGGGTTATATAAACATTGAGTCACTTAAATTGATAATATTCAAGTTTAAGGGAACTTTCTTATATACCTGCCATGTTAATTGACCCGAATCAGCCACCTGGTGGTGAAACTGGTAACTACCTACTCGCATTTGGGTAATTGGCCAGAGTTAGAAAGAATTCAACCATATGAATGTATTCATGTCTAATTTTGTTTTCTTGGCCTTAGGAGGATTCTCCTGTTTTTTAAGTATTCATCCACATATTCTCGAATCATTGATTATTAACATATGTATTAAGTATGCTACTTCCCTCATTGCTAATCATACACAAATGATGATTATGACTTAGTGGCCAGGTGTAATATATCTGCCCTCTCAGGCCGGGACATTAGCTATATCTGCCCGCTGATAAAAATATAAGTATTTATAAACCTGCTATATGTATCTGAAACATGTCCAAGTATGGGACAAATGTATCTACTTTTTTTGATTTCATACACTAAACAGATTTGTTTAGGAATAATTTGAAGTATTTCAAAAACATATACTGAACCACTATTGAAGGAATCATTGAAAATACAGCATATCAGAAACATGTGTAAATTGTTTATCTTGCAATTATTTTGCTAAATACTAATAGAAATTATACTGTACCTTCCAGAGAATAGCTTTTTTGTTGTTAACTATGAGCCAATGAATGAATGGATGCATTTTATTAACTGCAAAATGATGCTCTATGCAATTGATACGAAAAATTAATTTTGCCATATTAGAATCAAGTATAATCTTTAATCCATTGGATAGATCATGCATTGCCTGATGTTGAGGTATTGATAAAAGAATCAGCAAGTGTCTGACAAAATAGATTTTAGTGTTATGTATTAGGCAAAATATTAGGAAGGGTATAAATGGTCTCCAATCTTTCTAGTTTTGAGTATTACG